CCAACACTGGCTTCTCTTACGTTCTTATAAGAGGGAATTGGATAAACATATCGAGCAGAGATCCATCAGTGGCTATTAGCCACAAGGTATAGATAGGAACTCTCAGGCTGGGGCAAAGGATGCTCTGTATTCTTGATGCTCGGGGGGGGGGCAACAGTGGGAGGGCTTCTAGTGTCCTGGCCCCACTGGTGGACCTCCTGATGGCACTGGTTTCTGGGGCCACTGTGTGACAGAGTGTTGGACTGGATGGGCCTTTGGCCTGATCCAACATTGGCGTCTCTGATGTTCTTATGTCTGGGACAAGGGATGCTCTGTATTCTTGGTGCTTGGGGGGGGGGGTCAACAGTGGGAGGCTTCTAGTGTCCTGGCCCCACTGCTGGACCTCCTGAGGACACCTGGTATTTTTGGCCACTGTGTGACAGAGTGTTGGACTGGATGGGCCATTGGCTTGATCCAACATTGGCTTCTCTTATGTTCTTATGTCTGGGGCAAGGGATGCTCTGTCTTCTTGGTGCTTGGGGGGGGGCAACAGTGGGAGGGCTTCTCGTGTCCTGGCCCCACTGCTGGACCTCCTGAGGGCACCTGGTATTTCTGGCCACTGTGTGATGGAGTGTTGGACTGTATGGGCCATTGGCCTGATCCAACATTGGCTTCTCTGATGTTCTTATAGCAGGAGAAGCAGTCTCGGAGGTACGTAGATTTCTCCCATCTCAGAAGGTCAGTGAAATGACATGTGCTGAGCCTCTCGCCGTCTCTCTCTCTGCAGCGCTGGTTTCTGTATCCCCCGGAGAAAACGCCAGAGTTCCATCCCAACAAGACTACTCTGTCTTGGCTGCTGGACACGTACCCTTTCCTGCCCCCCTGGGAGAGGCCAATCGAATGCACCATTCACCCCGGAGAGGTAACTGTGGCCGTGGTCAAACCACCAAAGCGTCTGTTTTAGAGAACTCAGCCACCGCTTGTGCCTTTGTACTTTTGGGGCTAGACTGCATTAAAATGTAGGGGCGCCCTTGACGACGGTTCAGGAGTTTTTGTCTGGCGTTCTCAACGGGCTAGGACAGTGATGGTGAACCTTTTAGAGACCGCGTGCCCAAACTGCGACCCAAAACCCACTTCTTTATCGCAAAGTGCCAACACGGCAATTGAAACCTGAATACTGAGGTTTTACTTTAGAAAAAAACCACTCATACATTAACTTAAGACGATCCAAACAAAGTAAGGAAAGCAATCCCAAATGCTTTCATGTACTTAAAATTATTTGGCAGAGAATTCGGCACTTTAATGATGGTCTGGGCCTGGCTGGGGCGATGGCACGCGTGCCCACAGAGAGGGCTCTGAGTTCCACCTCTGGCACCCGTGCCAGAGGTTCGCCACCACTGGGCTAGGAAGTCATCAGAAGCAAATGGCACCTGTGTTTCAGGGTCCACATTGTCTCCAGGCCCGAGAACTGGTGTGCTTAAGAGAGCTTAGAAAACTAGTAAAGTAAACTGTTACATATTGATGTCACTTTGGCCCTGATGAGGAGATTTTACTTGTATTCATAGGACCTAAACTGGAAGATACATATTGGCGATATTAACATTGCCAATATATGCAATTGTTTCTGACACAAGGCCAGATACGTTTTGTGGCCCCACACACAAAAACCAGTTTTGTGTCATTCAGTTCCAGATTGGAACATTCCATTTTTGGCCCTATATCAATTGTTTACTGCCTTACAAGGGTCACAGGGGCTTTGTGCCATGTTGTATTCTGCGCTATTTGACCTCTGAACAAGGCTCTTGTGGGTCGAAACGCGTCAGGTCATATAGGGCTCCTTTTGCACATGTGTCGCTTTGATTATTTTATGAGGCTTTATTTGGGCCTCTACGAGGTTTTTATGTGTTTTTTGGGGGGGAAACACACGTACTTCTGTCCATACCTCTTGATGTTTTTAACTTCAACTTGGGTTGAACTATACCTAACTATAAACTCTGGGGCAAGTGATGCTCTGTCTTCCTGGTGCTTGGGGGGGGCCAACAGTGGGAGGGCTTCTAATGTCCTGGCCCCACTGCTGGACCTCCTGATGGCACCTGGTATTTCTGGCCACTGTGTGACATGGAGTGTTGGACTGGGTGGGCCACTGGCCTGATCCAACATTGGCGTCTCTGAAGGTCTTATGTTCTTACTTGCAATTTCTTGCTTCCAAACTGCTAGGTTGGCAGGAGCTGGAAATAGAGACGGGAGCTCACTCCGTCATGCGGCGCACTCGGGTCTCGAACTGCTGAACTACCAACCTTCCACAGCTTGTAGTTCAGCGTCTTAACCACCTGAGCCACCGCAGCTCCTAACTATAACTTGAGTATAAATCCAATCTCTTCTCTTCTGGTCCTTTACTAGTTTCCCAAACTTCCTTTGGAGGTTTTTCCTTGTTTGGTTTAGTTTTTCCTCCCCTCTCTTTGTGGGTGCTTAAGGGAGCACCTTCTTCCATGTGACCTTCCCCAATCTCTTAAGATTCCCCAGGAACACCCTCTCAGGTGTAGTAGCATTGGTGCCCCAAATTGGGTGCACGGAGAGGCATTCTTTGTGGCTCTCCCAGAGCTGTGCAGTCATCAGCCAAAACCCAAGCCTATGCATCTTCAAGAAGCAGTGTAAATGGTCTTATTGCATCCGGGCCACGGATTGGGTAGTATAATTATCATGCAGTTACCCTCCGGAGGATTGGGGGTGGGCTGCGTGTCCACGTAATAAATACAATTATGGCTGAGCGTGATTTGTAGGGGGGGACGGAATAATAACCGAAAGGGGAGGGGCACGAAGGCACCCTCCTTCTAAACCTCAGGGATTACACCCATTCTGTACTGGTTTTGCCATCTTGTAAATCCGCTTTAAACCCATTCCTGGTTTACATAGAGATTATCTCCTCGAAAGGATACAGAGCGAACATTCCAGCAGGGAGATTTGCCATGGGCTGCTCAGAAAGCAGTCACTGTTTCCTCAAATGCTTCTGTAGCGGTTCCAGTTGGTTTCTGGCCCCAGGCGGCAAAGAGGCCCCTCTTCATTCTTTCCAAAATTCAGCATCTCAGAAATCCCCGCTCTTTGGTTGGTTGGATTCTTTTAGCACCACGATTCCAGTCCCGGTGACCACCAGTGTTCCCTCTAAGCTGAGTTCGTGTGAACTAGCTCACAGTTTTTTAGCCACTGGCTCACAGATTTTTGTCTTAGCTCAGGAAAGATGGCTTCAGGGTGAACTAATTTATGCAGTGTCTTAACTGCTAGCCCAGAGCTGCGGTGGCTCAAGTGGTTAAGACGCTGAACTGCAGGCTGTGGAAGGTCAGTAGTTCGAGACCCGAGTGTACCGCATGACGGAGTGAGCTCCCGTCTCTATTTCCAGCTCCTGCCAACCTAGCAGTTTGGAAGCAAGAAATTGCAAGTAAGAACATAAGACCTTCAGAGACGCCAATGTTGGATCAGGCCAGTGGCCCACCCAGTCCAACACTCCATGTCACACAGTGGCCCAGCGTTCCATGCGCCTTGGTGTTTAGTCCTGCCGGCCACATGACCACGGAAACGTCTTCGGACAGCGCTGGCTCTTCGGCTTTGAAAAGGAGATGAGCACCGCAACCCTAGAGTCGGACTCGACTGGCTTTCGAGCAAGGGAACCTTTACCTTTACCTAATTGCTAGCCCACAACTTTAATGCCAGTAGCTCACAAAGTAGAATTTTTGCTCACAAGACTCCACAGCTTAGAGGGACCACTGGTGGCCACCGAGAAGAAAGCTGCCCAAAAACTGCAGCGCAGGTGTGCTCGGTATTATCTCAGTAAGCTGGAGAGGGAACAGAGCAGGACTTCCGGGTCCAGTGTGATAATGTGTGTGTCTGTTTTTGAAAGCCGTTCAGAAGTATACTCAAAATGAAAAGCCTGGTTTTCACTCCGGTTTAGGAAGCTGCCTTATTATGCTGTGTTGTCTTAGCTAGTTCAGTGTTCTCCCCACTGAATGGCTGCGGCTCTCCAGTCTCATAGAATCGTAGAGTTGGAAGGGACCTCCAGAGTCATCTAGTCCACCCCCCCTGCACAAAGCAGGACGTTTACAACTACCTCCCCCCAACACCTGCAGTGACCCCTGCTCTAGGCTC